ATATTATAATACTAAGATAGAAATATCGTATGTGGTAACGACAAGAAGTTGTTTGCATTGAGACAGAAATGTTACCTTGCACTGTGAACATACCTCTAGTTTCTGCAGCTTCTCCCTCGCCTCTCGGGCGAGCTCCTCCGGGGTTTTCATCTTCTCCGAGGGCTGAGCCTTCATCTCAAAGCCGAGCTCTCTGACCATCATGTCATAGTCTTCCAGCTAGAACGCACAGAGGCAGCAGAGAGAGCGAGAGAAGAAACATCAGTCTCTGTCAGTGATTCATGAAAGCACACAGTGGAGGAAAATCATTTTGCTCATCGACTGGTGCGACCCTACCTTGGGCCTCTCCTCCGGTTTGTCGGCACTTTCAGCTTTGGGTGTCTTTTTCACCATCAGAGCCTGGATGCTCTTCCACTCTTGATCCAGCTTCTCAGTCAGCTCCTGTGCCTCCTCTTTCTGCACCTGTCGTTCCCGCTGAAAAAGTCAAAGTAAAGTAAACTCAGAAGTTAATCATCTGGACGACAAGACGCATCTCCCCTAAAATATCACTCCAACAAACATCCTTAAAGAAGGCAGGCAATATTTTTCGACCCAGCCGGTCTGCAGCACTCAGCAATAAACCTTGTAGTGGACCTAACTGTTTGCTTCTGAGGATGTATATCTTTAAAAAAGGGTCACTAATACATTTACATCATAAATATTTTAATTTTTAAAACAATGCTAAATAATTTCATTAAGTAGATGGTGTCTCTAGCTAAAGTTACTCAAACAGGAGTAATTGGTGCATTTGCAGGGGAATATTTTTAGCTGTGTATTGGGGGGCACTAGTGAATACTTATAGCAGTAAGACGGTGTATGTGGAAACACCGCAAGATAAACTACAATGGCCGCCAGTGCTACAGTGTGGCTCATTGGTGTGTTTTAAATAGTTACTGGAAAACAATGGTGGTCTACGGCACAGAGGAATAAGCTTTATTATGCATTAGCTACATAGACAATACGTCTTAGTAAGAGCGATTCATAGTTGGTTTTGTTTGTTTTTCACAACAATAAAATGTTGGATATCACAAGTCTTATCCACTTGTGGGGATATATCTATGTTTAAAAGGGTGAAAAGGTCAGTGTGGGACCTACCCCAGCAGGATTATGTTACTGGCTCACCTTCTCCTGCTTGGACTTCTGGATGAGCTCTTCAATGAGCTCCTGTCTGGACTTGGCCCTCTGGTTTCCTTCCTGGTCCTGCTGATCCCCCGTTTTCTTTTTGAGGAGGCCCCCTCCTCCTCCAAAGTGGGAGGCGGTCAGCTCAGCTAGATAAGAAAGAGAAGTAGTGTTACTATTGTGTACCAGCTCTGTAGTCTATAACATCAAACCTATCTAAAAAGCCACCACGTTCATGGGTTTTGCATTTTGATAATGTAAAAATATTTTTTTGTTTTCTCATAATCATTAATTGCTGGGACACACACACACAAATTTCAGTAAAAACACAGATACTTACTACACACCATTGTAAGTTTAACTGAAGGAGAATCCAGGAAAGAGCAATTTATACTAAATATTTACAAGATTATTCATAAACATCCATAGCTCAGGAATTGACAATAAAAGGATGAAGGGGGGAAAAATGACAGTATGTTATGATGTCATTAAGAGGAAACATGCTCAAAGCACCACATCTCGTGTTTGGACACAAGAAATGCTCACCTGACAAAAGACCTTTCTCTTCTGACTCATCATCGCTATTCACAAGGTCATTGAATTTCTCCATCTCAGCCAGTGACTGGCCATAATGGGTCAGCTCCTCCTCCTCGTTCAGGTTGTACACATCCTTCTTATCGTGGACACGCTAACAGATGACAAAATGTTTACACACTGTGAGATTTGTTAGCTCCCAATTTTCAGGGAGTTGTTACGTCCGCAGTCCAAAGTAAGAAACTCTGTCTGACTTGCTTTTTTCATTCTGTACTACTACTAATACTGAAGCCAGTGACAGAACTGGTGAGACTACTGCCTCATTTGAAGTTTGGAGCAACAAATGATTCTTGTAAAATATCAATTTTGTCTGAATTCTTTGTTTATTTTATCAAAAGGCCAGAACCTGACGTCCTGTCCAACATGACCATGTGAGGCAGGAAATTATTCAAATTATTACATCACTGACCTGTCTCTCCATCGCGAACCTCTGTAGGATTTTGTCTTCTGGTGCCATCTTGGTGTCATACTCTCCAAAGCGTCTGTCAATCAATTTGTTGGACTTGTTCTTCTGTTTGTATTCCTTCAGGAGGGTTTCTTTTCTCTACAGATGAAAAATTGAGAATTCTTTATGGTTTCTGTCCAAGCACACACACAGACACAAAGTTCCAACACGCTACACAAATATTGACTCTTTATTAGAGAGTTACAATTTTGTTCCTTTTGAGTGTAACACAAGTTAAGTCACAGCTGCCTCAACGATAATCTGATAAGCAGAAAAAAACTCAGATACATACATTCATACACAATCATGTAGAAGTAAAATGTAATCAAGGGTGCAGCTTGTACTTTTATCCTCAATTTAACTTGTGCTAAGTTCTGTTGATGCTTCTCTCCGTCGTTACAAAGTATCCTCAGCCTCTCTCGCACAAAATCTCTCCCAGCATGATACTGTGAGCGCCAGGCTTCACAGCACAGAGTGTTAAATGGATGATGGGCTGTGACACATGGCTGCCAGATACAGCGCTACAGTATAAGAGTTTATCTTTGATTTTGTTATTAGTTTCATCAGACGGTAGAATAGTTTAGGTTTTATTCAGTCTGCCCTCCTTTTCTTTATTCTGCTGTACCGCCCAGATCTGCCTGACATCGCTGGCCAACATCGCTATACTGTCAAGAGCAGTCATTTTGATTAAAAGTCTAAAATGTATCATTAGATATTACTGCAGCTAATGTTTAAAATGTTCATGATGATCATTTTAAATTACCTTATAAGAGAACATAAAGTAGTCTATAAATCCACTAAGCTCGCAAAGAAAAATGAAATAAGGGTTTAAATTTAGTTGGAGGGCTGTAAAGAGATAAAAGATGTTAGTCCATTTAAGGATTTAGGAAACGTAATGTAGCAGAATTGTAAAGATAGGTGGGGAGTAACAACATGAGATTTCCACTTACCTTATTAATGGCTTTGGATCGAGACACACCAGGCAGACCCACGTCATGCTTGCTTTTTCTCCCCAGAACATCAAATTTTTTCCTGTTGATTTTCACCTCAAACGGGTTGTTCTTTATCTCAATAGAGGTCTTGGTTTTGCGGACTTTGTCAGCAAGGCTCCTCTTCTTTGGTACCTTCCCCATCTGGAACAGAATAAGGAGCTAACATCACTGACAGCCTCAGGCTACCTCCATCTAGAGCTGACGATAATCGATTAATCGGTTTGAGAAATTTTTTAAGATTAATTCTCTGGTTTCAGCGTCTTAAATGTAGATGTATTCTGGTTTCTTTACTCTTCTATGACAGTGAAATTAATATCTTTGGACTGTGGACAAAATAAGACTCTTGATGTCGTCATATTTTGCTTTGGGAAACACTGATCAACATTTTTCACCATTACCTGATATTTTACAGACCCAAAAAACAATCGATGAACTGAGGAAAATACCTCCATGTGTCAGACTGAATGAGCCAGATCATCTTGAAACTCTTATTTAATACTTTGTTCTAACGATCTCTTTTCTGGTGATTGGTTAGGTTTTGTTTCGTCCCAGGTTGCTGTTGCTAACATTAGCTAACAGTGGGCTTTAGGACATGCTAAGGGCAACACTTACATATGTGTGTGACTTTAATGTACTTATCAAAGCAAAAGTATCAAATGTAATAAGTACGACGATTATATGGTAAAAGGCATACATTGGAGCTACTTTATAGCTAGCTAGCTTCACTACGAGCCGTCAACAGTTTGTAAACACCCTAACATTATAACTCAGTGGCAGAGTTTACCTTTTAGCCGCGTTAAAGAGTCGAGTTATTAAATCCAGGCAGCGGAAACCGTGGAGCACTTACGCTCTGCCAACGCTGAATTTAATAAATAACAATTTAATTGTCTGCCATCCACGTTGTTTCACTATGTTTCCATTCCCAACGTGCAAAAGTCTGAGGTCAAAGTTTAAAACAAAGAAGCTGAGAAGAGCTACTTCTGGTGTGAGTTTCCCTACAACGCCTCTAGCGTTGACAATTGGAAGTTCATTCTTTAAAACAAGAGCACGGATTATACGGAAGATCAGCTATAATTTAGATTAGACTAAAAAAATCGCCAGCACAAATACATGATTACTGGTTCAAATGTCTTTTTCCATAATTAGCATACAAATAAACATAGTTTTCATTGTAGTGTCTGCATAAATTGTATATATTGGTCAAAAGCTGGACAGGCACATGTGTTATATACCCCAAGCACGCTCAATGGAAAAGTCTGAATAGGGGAAATCACTCTTTGATTGAACAAGTCACAAGTAAAAAAGGTTGTAAATGTGACTGAGTATAATTCAATAATTGTCAATTCATCCAATTTAAAGCTGGGGTAGTCATCCTTTTTACATTTTGATTTATTCATTGCTGTCTGGATGTAAAGAGAATTTCAACAAATAAAATTTACTAAGTTCACTTTAAATGGAATCTTTAAACTTAAGCTAAGTGATTATCGATGTTTAAAAATCGCGTTATCAGCCTCATGATTCAGAATGACATAACTACTGTATGTATTATTATTTTAAAAAGTTTGAGTCGAGGGATCCTAGTTGTTACCACGCTTCACTTAACCGATCATACATTAGCTTAAATTAACTTTTATAACTTCAGAAATGCTTTTGGTCTTACATTTGATTTAAATAAAATGTGCTGTATGCAAAGTTAACAAGCTGAGTAAGATGCACTTGGTTCTCTAAACACAATATTAGCTAGCGGTTGGCAATACAACAGTATTTTTATAAAGTTTATTTTTTAAAAGCTAAATAAAACATTCCAGCTGTTGTAAGTTTGTAATTCAGAGCAACTTTATTTCTCACACAGGAAAGAAAAAGACAGAAAAACACAATCGCTCAAGCTGCTCCATCATCAGTGAACAAGTGGCTGGGCTCCAATGTATGTGTTTTAGTCGGTGCAGCGGGTGAGACCAGCAGGGTGGATCAGCACTGTGGACGCTGTTGCTGTTGGAGAGTTCAGCCAGTAGGTCTTATACACATGTGGCAGGTGACAGAAGTCACACACATGCAGAGTCACTGCTGCCTGCACGTGAGGCGGCTGCATCACGGCTGCCTGTGTGTCAGGAGCCTCCATTACGCTTGTCTGTAAGATAGAAGGCTCCATCACTGCTGTCTGTGACGGAGAAAGCACCATCACTGCTCTGTGAGATGTAGAAGGCTCCATCACTGCTGTGTGAGAGAGAGAAGGCTCCATTGACGTTCTCTGTGGCGGAGAAGGCTCCTTCACTGCTGTCTGCACTGGGGTCACACACAGCTTCTTGGCCCGTTGAGTGGCCTCTCTGAGTTTAGATGCAGACCCTGCCACACAAACAAACAAAAACACCTAACAGTCACTTTCAAAACAAGAGAAATAGTCGTAATATTGTTGATATCATGTTGAATAAATTCACATTTCCTTTTAAAAGCCCACAACGTGTGTTTTGTTTTGGTATTTAAAAATAATTTCACAAATCTGTTTCTTGGAAAACTAAAATATGATCCTAAGTTTTCATCACATTTCACATGAAAACACACAATGATCCACAGAAATGTCGTCTTACCTCGAACACTGGGGGTGAACACGTTCCTCTTCCTACTTCTCTTTTTGCCCTACACAAAAACAAACACGTTAGAATTTCCGTGTGATATCAGCCAATAAAAACAAGGCTCTTTTCAGTGACTTTGTTTCATCGGCTTTAGCCTAGTCATGTAAACATGTGCGAGTTGTACATGAGCAGAGTGTACATACATAATTTTCCTTGGATGACCAGTAGGGGTGTCGCTGTGAGTGAAGCTGTTTCTCTTTTTGTGCCTCTTCAATATATTTGGCCTTTTCCTCATTTGACAGCAACTTCCACTGTAGAGAGACGACAACACACTGTGAGCGCGCACACACACACGAATACAGGCCGGCTAGTACACGTGACGCAAAAAGGAGCATAAAAACATACTAACAGATGCATAAATGTGCACACAGATCCACTTGAAGGATTCCCACGGGGCATTTGTGTCATAAAATGCTGAAAACCCTCAGCTTGAATTTAGTTTTCCGCAGAAAATGATCTTTTAAAAACTGTAACTGACGATTTTGTGTCTAAAAAAATAGAGCGCAGACACACTTACCCTCTGTCCCAGGATAGTGTTTACCACCACACTCCCGCTGATTTTCAGTTCGGCCATAACTTTCGGCCTCTGCGCCTTCATGAACAGCATGAATGCATTGGGCGGCTTCTTTACGTATGGCTGAAATTCATCGCACTGGTTTTCCTTGCTATGGGAATACGAAACAAAAACAAACAGAACAAGAGCACACGTGTAAATCTGTGAGGAAAGAAGTGTTTTAGAAGGAAAACAGTAAAGTAAACAGAATAACACATGACGTGGGTAAAATTCATCCTTGTCCATGCTGTGTTGCACATTAAGACCCATTAAAAGAGATTGATCATTATAATATTCATGCTGGCATCTTGGTAGACAACAACAGACACCTGCAGTCACACAACAGCAGTAAAAAAGGCTGCTGATTTGATTATGCGTCTGACTTATTTATGGTCTTCTAGTTGGTGACCCCTGCCGTAGATCATCAGTCACACAGAAAAGTACATTTTGACCAAAACTGGCCAGAGCTTGCTTACTTTGACACGGAGGTGTTCAGCGGAGGAGCAGCAAAGTAAGAAGAAGCGAAAACATCTGCTGTGGTCCCGTAAACCAGGTGTCCATTCCTACATAGATAAAAAGGGACGCGGCATTATAGATAACAGAAATAGTGAGTTTGACGAGACAAGCAGGAGCTCAGTCGCTGTGTTCACTCGTGCGTGTATTTGTTGTTTGCATTTGTGTGTGAGTCGCTTACAGCACTCCAACTGGAGGCAGGCTCTGGCCCGTGCCTTCAAGGTGCCTCACCGCTGGCGCATAGCCATACTGGACACACAAACACAAACAGAAGAGGTGATTAGATAAGCTGCAATGGTGTCATGTGCCTACCTGGTGTCAGAGTTTGCCCTCTCTTTTAGTTATAGCGACTGCTTGAATGAGCGGCAGGGACATGTGTCACACTCATAGCTGTCATAGGCTCAGGATTGATAAAAAAGCTAGGCAACAACCTTGTTAATGCATGCTCGTTAAAAGTAGCCTGGCCTTTTTTGTGTAATAACTCCCACCTGTGGACTTAAGGTTTTAGATGTCTGATTATTAAAATTGGTTTGGGGAATTCAAACCTAAAAAAACTGACTATACTCACTGACTATTCCACATTTTAGTAGTGGATGTTACTGTAATTGTTGTTGTTTTTCTGTACAGCTGTGACTATTACAGCATTGATATCATTTTCCCACAGCAATGAGCGAGTGTGTGTGGTTAACCAGGGTCTTACTGGGTATGGAGGAGCAGCAGGGTAACTAGCGGCTGCTGATCTTGGGACGTCATCCACAGGCCACTGAAAAAAGACCAACACCCATCTTAAATGTATGTAAACACACTATAAACCGACACAGAACACATTTTCAACGGCGAGATCACGCTTGCTTGGTCAGATAGTTTGTTTGCAACCTTTATTTTAAGTACTGTTATAATGAAGAGACTGTATTACCAATATACTGTACATTCACATCACATCACGGTTACCTATCTCTACCCTTTACTTTGACTCTTACCTGTCCCTGGCTATAAGCACATGCCTGACTGTGCAGGTGACCTGACTGCATGACGCTCTGATCATACAGTGCTCCTTGGTAGATGATGGGTGCAGCCTGTCCAGCGTTCAGTCCTGAAGGAGTCATCAACGGACTTGGCTGCTCACAAGTGTGGGGAGGTGCTCCCAGTGGGAAGTACCCACCATATCCTCCGCTCAGACTTTCCACTGTCTGAGGGTGGGCATCATTTCCTACAAGCCCATCAGGGACAGGAAGAGGACAGGGTGGAGGGTTGGGTGCGTTTCCCAGTAGTTCATCAATTGCCACCTGGAGAGTGGATATCACGTCTTCCCACTCCATCTCCTCCACCGCACGTTCAAAATCTCCACTGTTATCCATCCTGTTGGCAGATGTTTTGTATGCCTCCCTACGGTTTGTTCTCACTGAACTCATCCAGAAGAGTGACTCTTGTCTGATTTTGTCTGAAAGTTACTCTGCTCCTGTGACACACATTGATAAGAAGCTGGTTTTGAGACACTTTTGTTGGAGAGTATCACTAGGGTTGGTTGGTGATTAAGAGTCAAGATGAGAAGGAGCAGCATTTGTGTAACTGCTGCAAGAAGAAGCATGGTGAAACAGAAACATTGCTGGACAGTTAATGTCCCCAAGGAGCTACTTCTAATTATAATAATAATAACTGAATTATAAATAGCATGAAAGGTAAACACTGACACACCTTTAGCCTACAAGTTCAAACTGTAAAAGAACATCACTAAAGCTACTTTCTACTTCTAAATCCCTACATTTCAGAGGACAATACTGTACATTTTACTTCATTAAATTATTTGGCAGCTTTGTAATTACTGCTTACTTCGCAGAGATTGTACATAGTACCTCATCAGTTCATAACATACGATGCATTGTAACTTACATTTGTAGCATAGAACTCAGCATAGAGAAATGAGCCAATCTGCATTAGTACTTTTAATTTAGCAATTTTGTTGATACTTCTGTCCTTTTAATTTAGTAAAATGTTGAATTTTGTACTTCTAATTAACATTTCTCTGAAAGCTTCTTCCACCACTGCCCCAAGAGGTGATTAAGTTACTGTAAAAAGCAATAGCCAAAATCTCATAAAGCCCAGTTTCTTAACTTTCGTCAGCATTTCTTTGAGTTAAAAAAATACTGTTGTATTGCCAACTGCAAGCTAATATATTGTGTTTGGGGAACCAAGTGCATCTTACTCTGCAGCGTGCGTTAACGTTACCTGTTCGCGAAAGAGCTTCTAGCCACTGCGTTCACTGGCGGTTCTGTTAGTTAACAATCTTTGTATTTCTCTTGAGATGTGGACTTCTTTGAGACTATAAGTTCCTCACACGGTGTAGTCTACAAGTGAAATGTAGACTAAATGTCGACTGTAAAAAAAAAAATAATAATCACTATTTGGGCCACACACACTTTTCGAATTTAGAACATGTACATTATGACGTAATGTGGCGTTAATACGGATATTCTATTCCCTGGACAGATGCACACGTTCATAGTAACGTTGCCTGTTGTTCCTTAAGTAACTGTTGATTGCTTGGACAGTATAATGTGCAAGCTCTTATGGTTTACATTTACCCATTGTGTGTAAAATGTTAAAAATAAATATTTCTCTATGTACTACAGCTGGGCAATAAAATGAATGATTATCGCAATATAATTTTCCTCAACAATATAATAAATGTTCAATATATACTCAATAAATATTTGGTTTAATTCATTTGACTCACGAACAAATTAGCATTTACATTTTTCTATTTAAATATTTATTTTGATGAGGAAAAAGGAGTGAAAAAAGATTTACTAGTCATATTTGCTGCAAGATTATAGTTATAGTATATATATATAGTATATAGTAGAATAGTTTTAATTGTTCTACCTCAAATTTGTTAAGTGATCTACTGTATGGCATCAAGCATTTGTCACATTCTGACCATAAAGAAAAGTGTAACCACACATTTAACCATCGAGTTTCTTCTATTTACACCCAGGAGCAAAAATCTGCCTTTAAACTTGAAAGAAATAATGATTAGACATATATCCTGATAATTATCGGTATCAAATGACATTAAATGTTTTTATCATGAAAACTTTTTTGGCAATATCGCCCAGCTCTACTATGTAAACACATCAATTAATAAGTTGTTTTTTTACTAAGTTCTCCATGCTGAATCTGAAGAAATGCTTTTAATATTGACAAAAAAAAAAAAAAATACAAATCACACAATACTGACTTTCATGGTAGTGTTTTTTTATTCATGGTTGTAAAATAGGCAGAACCATGAGAAAAGAGAGGTGGAAGTATTACATCTTAGATGGTATAATGACGAGACAGTAGATCAGACAGAATACAAAGGAGCATAGCTGTGAGAATAATAAAAAAAAAAAAATCTGTTTGACTCAAATTAAAACCATGACTACAAGGACTCTAGTACTATTAGCGGCACGCTACAGCTAAAATAAAATACAAATAAGTGGTAGTTACAGTCATTTAAAGGACAGTACACTCTCTCTAAGCACTCTACACATGCAGTCCTTCATTAGTTAGACATTCTGTGCTTGTAGATACTCCACCGGTGGTCAACAAAAACCAAAAAGTTTATTAAGCATCTCAGATTAGGTGAAGCTTCCTGTTAGTTTTGCCTTTTGGTTCATCATGAGTTAGATTGAATACTAACCTAAAACAGGATGAATGAACACAAGTTAGGAAGCAATGCATGGAGATGGCCTTGGTATTAATGCCCTGAAACCTTAAGCACAGCTCATATGCCATCACACAATTGGTTACACATCAGTGACAAAAGAAAAAAAAAAAAAGAAAAGAATTGCTTCTCCAGTGTACACTGTGTCTTTACTGCAACTGGAAACACACAGGTTTTAAAGCCCATTTGCCCAGAGTGGCGTTTTACACAGGAGAGTCCAGGTTGAGGGTTCTGAAATATGATTGATCATGCAGCTTCATAACAGTGACATTGTCATTTACATGTTCTGTAACAACTGTATATTAATGATGACAGATCGTGAGCATCTAAAAGCAATGTCTGGTTCCCAGACAGTGGTTTATAAAAGAGGAGGTTCACAGTGCGCTCTCACAGCAAGCAATCATGGCTCAATCTACTTTGTGAGAGAGCGCAAGATGTCAAAAAACAAACAAACAAAAAAAACCCCACAATAATGAAATGACATAATAAAATATGTAAACCCCAATTTATAGCATTCCTGCCTTTTTCTGTCTTTCACGGAGACAGAGATAAATCGAGGGCGCAAATGCAAAACAAAGCCAGGCTCAAACAATTAGAATGAATGCAAAACATAAACTGAGAATTTGTTTTTACACATTCCTTCATACTGAAGACTTACAGCCAGGAGCAAATATCGACCCTTGGAATAATCAACAAGCACAATGCTTGCCAACACTCCCTGGGAGGGGTCACGCTTTGTTGTGAATCACGCTCATCACCATCACTAGGTTCAAACAAGGTTTGCAGCCCCACAGATCTGAAGCCATATACAACATACCTGTCAATTAAGGCTGTGTCAAATGATTAAGTTGAAGTCACCCAGATGGGATTTAGCTTGGATGTGGATATTTAATCAAAATATTGGTTTATGGAGGCATTAAAATGGATTTCTTTGCCCATTTTGCATTTTCCGTGGGTAATTAATCCACTGAAAATATCCCAACTGTAGTTCTCCTGGAATTTACCACCAGTTAAATGAGAGAATACAAGCTTCTCTTTCTGCATTCACTGTTTTTAAAAGACACTTTTAAAGACATATTTTTGATACAATCCCAATACATTCTAGTGGTTACAACTGTTTAGTAATACTCTTTAAAAAATGAGGGTGATAAAACCCTTAACCCTCACATCAAGTGTGCGGGCCTGTAGTAATAGACATGCATAAAAGGCCAGATGGAATGGACAAGACTCACTCACAACTAAAAGCCTCTAATAATTAAAAACCTTTATGCAATCAATCGTTTTTACACTGTATACAAAATTGGCACGCGCTAACGAGGAAAAATAGGTTAATAAGCCAGCGACAAATGATATCAAAACAACAAAAAGCATAACTGTGGCTTGCTCGAAGGGTGCAATGATAGCAGACAAAAAGCGGAAATAAAAAGATGCAGAGGCCAGCCTTGAGGACCAATCCAACATTCTCCAATCTAGGACTCTGTCTTTTTTTTGTTTTTCTTTAGGAAGGAAGGAGTGCGGAACTTCTTTTTCTTTTTGGAGGGTGATTTGCTGGGAGACTCCTCCCCCTCCTGGTCACCAGCGTCAGCTGGTTCCTCCCCCTCAGCTCCGTCTGCGTCTGCGGTGGCAGGGGCCGAGGCGGAGTCTTCGGCAGGAAGTGCTGGGGCATCGGAGGGGTCATCAGGTGTTAAATCTGGAAGGGTCTGTCTCAGGGTGGCTGCGTCGCTCTCATCCTTATAGGTTTGTTCTGGCAAGGACTCTGGTGGATGGAGAAAGGAGAGCGTTATTGATCACAGAGGACAAACTGATGGATTTGGCGCTGCTGAGCTTACACACCACTGACGCTACTACAAATCAACCACTGGATAAGCTGTTCAATCCACATGATTTTTCTACTTAAAGAAGCATCCACTTGTCACCGCATGAGTGATCCATAAATAATACGCTTCTTAGTTTAACAGGGACTAAAAGCACAAACGTCTAGCACTTCCACAGGCAACATTCCCACTAAAAGCCAGAAGAGCACATCATAAAACAAACTAAGTAATACACATGACACCAAAAGCCAAAACAAGATGCACCGTCTCTCTTAAATAACATAAAAGCACCTCTCCAGGGCTCACTACCTACTTCTTAACATTAACAACAACAATTAACAACTACAAATGCTTTGCTCTCATTCATCTTGGTTATTCATCTCTCTCTGACTCCTCTTATTTATGGCCCAAGCTGGTACAAAGTACTTGTGTTTTACCTTCATTTAAACAGGGAAAACTTAATGAGCGCAGTTCCCTTGCTCATTTGCATCCTGTGTACAAACAGACAAAAAATAAAAGTCTGACACAAAAAAATATATTGCAATGTTTTCAAAGATTGTAATAATGTAACCACACAAGTGAGTTAAATCCAGTTGCTGGGAGTATAGAAACTAGGACTGGACGATATGGCCAAAACTGTTATCACAATAACAAGTCTTTCGATATCGATTATTATCACAGTAATTATCAAACTGTTCTTTCTTTCGAGTTTAAAGGCAGATTTTTGCTCCTGCGTGAAAGTGGAAGAAACCTGATGGTTAATTATGGTTTAAACCCTTCTTTATGGTCAGAGCAAACACTTTAAGCACTTTCTTTTTTTCATATACACTTACATTTCTTTGTATAAGTAAAATCCCTCAAAACGCAATCAAGCTTTGGACCTCCCTACATGCTGAAGCAGTATGCAAGGCGCTCTAACAAGAGGAGAGTGGTTTTTGGTTTGCCTTTCCAGTCCCGCAAACAAAGAAGCAGAAAGTAAAGGTTTAAGCAGTGTGTTTATTACGTTTTTCATTTACATTAGCATACCTGACTAATTTACTAACTAGCTACAGTAGTAACCACTTTCAAGAGAGTTAGCATATTATTTGCTAACTAACACTTCTCTTTTTAGTGGGGCTACAGGTTAAACTAGACAAAGCCACAAACGTGTTCTGAACTTATATATATCAAAGCTAACATTAGTGTCTCTGCCTTGCTTTTGGGGTAGTTTAAGGTTACAGTTCGGCAACCCCACCCCAAAATTGTTACTCAAAATAGTGTCATACACGTCGCTTAGGCCTCAATCTCCAAGCATTTTCTTAAATGTTAAATCTAATCGTAATCATTGTAAACTGCAAAAGCTTGGAAAAGCTTAATGGGTGTAGCGACAGTAACTAAGGGAGGTGGGGCTTACTGAACAGATAACATATTGAAAATATACCTTTGCATCAGTACATATAATATTTTTAAGTTGAGTGAGACTGTCTAGTGATATTTTCTCAAGTGAATGTGTCATCCAATACTCCCAGCAATAAGAGTTAAGAAACAACAAGTGCTTGTGATGGATCTAGGAGGTCTGCTTCAGTAAAGCTGCATGGATCAGCAGCCCAAACAGCTTCCAAAACACTGCTTCAAGCTCAGGTACAAGCTCACACAGAGCAGTCAGGTGTAAAACAACTACGGTTTTTAATCATTTTTAACATTGCTCACATGCTACAGAGACTAGCATGGAAGACCCTTTGTCAAGACCTGAGAAAACACTACACCAGTCTTCATTTTACATCTCTCATGTCTGTCAGAACAGATACGACGCCGAACACACAGATAACATGGATGGAGAGACTAAACACCACCAACACAGCCAAGCACTGGACCTCGAACAACTTTCAAGCTAAACCAACAGCGGGTCTCAGCAAGGCCAACAGCAGCAAGTCTGGTTTTTGAAAGCCACACTCAAATAAAAGCACTGATGTACCTCGTAAAGGTCTCATCTGTAAGACAAACAACATTCAACACATTTTCAAAACATTACCTGATTCTTCCATGAAACAAATACACACGGTGTCATCTAACATTGATAGAATGTGCATACATGTTTGAGAGGTTGGTTCATTTGATAGTGAGTCATTGGCAGGAAGAAAAGGTTATCTAACACAGGAGGTTTGGTGAGTTGTGAGGTTTACTTCAGACACATCCTCTGATTTTGTTTAGACCAGGTCACTGTCATTCAGGTAAATGGGATGAAATAAGATTGCACGGAAATGTATCAAGTATCCATTTCTTGAAATTTGTCTTTTTTTTTTCCAAAAACTGAAAACAGTGAATCTTGGCTAATTACAAGAGAGGAAGGAGCTCTGAAATAACCCCCATCAACCCCAAGAAAGAGAGTCAGGAGTCAAAACCGACTGAACAGTTTCAAACCCCGGGTTAGTTCAGACCACAGGTCAGCTCTACTAGTGAAGCCATGCAAAGAAAAAGGGGTAAATGATCAAACACAGGCATGGAGGGTGATGGGTAATTCGGAGGGTGGTGAGGAGGTGGAACAGTACATACTTACTATGGTAACAGGTACTCTTTTGAGTTTCCATCTCCTGATTGTAATCGCAGCCACAAAGAAGAAAAAGCACAAGTAGAAACAAATGTCTATGCAGATCAAACCACAGGCACCGTGTTAAATAAAAAAATAAATTAAAATGTTGAATAGAGAAAAAAAAAAAAAAAAAAAAAAAAACACCAGAGGAAAAATTTAAAAAGAATGGTTGGGAACCATTCTTAGTAATCCCCCAAAAAGATGGAGAATGGAAGTGAAGGGGTAAAGGAGATTCTGTACATAGAGACATCTGTTATATAACAACATTTCAGGTATTAGATTACACCTGCGGTCAAAGCTACTCATCCCCTTCCTCCCTCATGCTGACTATAACTGTTTGCTTACTATAAGAAGAAACTTAAAGTGTATGACTGGAATAATGTCAATTGTTGTTAATAAAACGTAACTAAGCTTATAACCACGTGGTGTTTTAGGGCTATTTCTGGTATCATTATGGATGATACTAATCACATAGGTGTAATCCAATAGTAATAAAGACCAAGAGGACGAAAAATTAAAATAAAAGATCGGAAATATACTGAGATGTCTGCACTGGTGTCCATATGTTAGAAATTATTTTTCTAATATATATTATACCTTTTCTATTGGGTATATCACTCACTGTCTTTCCAAACTATTTCTTGACATGTTTAGATCTGGAGACTTCGGAATTAAATCCTCATCTGCACCTCTAACTTCCCATCTCTCCTAGCATAAAACTGATTAAATAGTCAAAACCTCTTGGCCTGTTATTACAGAAAAAACAGCACAACACCCGTAGTAGTATTATTAAAAAGACCACAACATTAACAGACCCAAGACAGACAGGCAGGTGGACGGGCAGGAGCCTCTGCATTCCCTCTGTAGACCCTAGAAAAGCTTAAAAACCCAACCAACCAGAGGACTGGAGCAACTCATGCTGAACCAGGCGGGCAGGGTGTGTCAAGTATGTCAGGTGAACCTACCTTCCTCTGCTTTGACCGGGGTGCTGGGTGGTGTTGTGGGTTTCTGGCCTTTGGGTTCCTCCTCAGGCTCCTCTGGGTCTGAATGATAATCAGCAGAAATAAAATAGTGAGAAACTGTTCACCACAAATACGTAAGGAATGTAAATTTAAGTAAAAGTAAAATCACATTTTGTCTGAAAGTATCTTAAGATATCAACACCAGCAACATCGCAACACAAAGAAAAGCTGGGACAACACAAAGAACCAAACGAGGGAGGAAGCCTTAATCAGAACACTGCAAAAGCTTTCAACCAAATCCCGATAAAAGCAACCTTGAAATGTCCCATAGAGCCAAACAACCCTAAACTACCATTAGCTTAATTGGAAATAAGTCAGAGACATAAGAGGGAGAGTGGACACCAACAGAGATATATCCAGGACAGGTTAACAGGAAGAGAGGAAGGACACCATTATTCATGTCTTCACATGGGTTGCTCTGATTGGATGACTGAGCTCAGATTTGGCTTCTTCAAAAGGTTAGGACGACATTCAACTTTTAGAGTTGAGAGAGCTTGCTCAAAGACAAGGGGTGGTTGAAAATCTTAAAATGAGCTCGATTTTTACTCCTCACATCCTCACTGCTCCGCTCCTCGTCCAATCAAACTGCAGAAAGGTATCTGATCTGCCAGAACTCTGATGCCTTTGGACAAGACATCAGAGAGAGGGGATGAGGGGGGAAAAATAATCAAGCAAAGGCTTCGAAGATTGAACTGTGGGTAGGGAGGATGCTTGCGCATGGTAAAACAGCGGCAGCAGACTCCAAACCCCCAGTAGAAGGAGAGGACACAGCAGGCAGGGATTCCCACAATCCCAGTGCAGCGGTAGGTAGTGACACAGGCCAAGGCTGAGCAGGGAAGGAGGGAAGCGGGAGGCCAGATTTTAGGCACGACTCCGCTTCATCTGTTCTACCTGGAGCCAGATCTGCCTTAGCTGCCTCTACCACTGACGGCTCCTTGCTGAGGGCTCGCACCACGGCACAGTGGAACTCCTTTTGTGGGGAATCTGGAACTAAAAGAACCTCATCTGCAGTCGAGAAAACGTCATCCACAACTGCCTCTGCAGAGTCGGCGCCGCCCTGAGCTGGCTCCTCCCCACTGGGTAGGCCGTGGGAAGAAGATGTTGGTGTAGCGGGCGTTGCTTTCTCTAAGCTTGGTGAGTCGGATGCAGACTGTAGAGGTGTAGAGACAGAGGCTTGACCCCCCGGTAGCTTTTCAGGCTCAGGACAGGGTACCGTGGAGGCTGATTCCTCCCTATTATCGTCTCGTCCCTGCACTGTGAATTCGTGTGTGTGTGTGTGTGTGGAGAAATAACATCACAGTCTGGCCAATCTTAAGTTCATTTTTTTCCATCATTCTGCAGGAAGGTAAATATTTTTTTCCTTCATTACAAGTATATTAAAAAATTCTCGAGTACGTATAAAATAGCTGTACATAACGAACTGAAAACAGAATTAAATGGACACAGACGCATAACCACTCAGGTGATCTCCACTCAATTTTTGCAAGTATCTATGCTTACTTTGTAGACGTCTGTGAAGCTCTAAGAGACATTATTGTTTCTGTGAGACATTTTCTCTTCTTGAGGAAGGTCAAAGAAGAGCGATTCACAGAATGAGGGAGCTGTGGAAATCCGTGTATTGATTATTTTGTTTCAAAGCCGAATGGGAAAAACCAAAAAAAAACAAGTTAAACAGAAATAAAAACAAAACAAAAAACCCCCCAAAAAAACAGATATCCGTTTCTGTGTTTCGGTTTTAAAACCAAAATAGAAAAATATTGATTTCGATATTTAATGTGTCCAATTAGTGTAGCTTTGTGTGTTAAAACTTGATAAACCTGCAGCAGATACACTTCGGCGATGGCGGTGCCTGATTAAATGTAATTAAGATGATCTTGAACATCAACTTAGGTGGGTTTTTTAAACTGGAGGCCCACCATTATAACTTTTTTTTTTTTTTTTTTTTTTTTTTTTTAAATCAAGTGATTAAACTTACTTAGTCATTATATACATGTACCATTCTCAAATCAAGAGTGGAATATAACCACAAACCATGTGCCATTTTGGCCGACAATGCGAGGTTGTTTCTATTCCTCAAACTAAAAGGGGTTACGGTGTGCTGAACACCGTGGTAAGCAGACAAAATACAAATCATGAGTATCATTTGATCCATAACAGAAGATCCCAGGGCTAAAGGACGGGCTACCCTTACAGAGGATGTTTTTCCCCTTCACATTATACTGAGATTCATTTCATCCTCTCCACTCATCAGCTTTACCTTCAGTCCCTTTTTGTTTCTGCTCCACCTCCTTGCGGTAGTCCTCCAGCTCCTGGTCGGTGAGTTTGGTGAAGGGGTTGGGACCCTGCTTGCTAACAATAACCTTGGGCTGGTACTCCTTTTCGATGATGGCCTTGGACGCTGTCACTAGCTCCCCCTGCAGGACACACAGAAGGAAGGCAGAAAGAGATGAGACAATCATGGTCACATGGAAGTATGTCATTTATTGAAAATTTGCTCGAGAAAAAAGTAGATTTTTTTTTTATTATTATTCAAATTTGAATAGGATTATCAGATTAGAGGCAGTTTATACACAACTATTATGTACAATGAGCAGAAGTATTAGCCATAGATGAATAAATGCATCTTCACAGTACAAGTTGGAGCTAACAGGACATTCCATAATTCAGATTATGATGTACAAGAACAGGGTATTTTAATTATAATCAGGAAAGAGCAATACTTTTCCCTTTACATCCCATACAACAGCACTGCTTCATAAAAGCCAAGCACTGACAGATTTGAGAAAGACTTCAGGCCAACAGTACATCACCCCGTGCACATAAAGTAGTCATGGTGAAGCAAAAAAGCGTGACTGCAGTAGACATAGCAGTAGTTGTGTTCTTTATCCCAAACACATTAGTTTTAACTTCACTTAGAGATTTAATTTTTTTTTATATGTACAATACATGCAGCAAACAAAACCATCGCTGGACCTCTTTACTGCCCACTACAACTTGGAACAATACGTTCTGAAACAATAGTGAAAATCTCTCCTGCAGACATGACATAAATTTAACTCAAGGAACTTGGCTGACACACAAAAAAACACATTAATAATTTCACTGGATCCGTGGTGGCGCATAGATAAGATGCTTGCCTTTGGTGTGGGAGACCTGGGTTCAATTTCCACTGTAAGACATCCACGAAGACACTTAACCCCTAGTTGCTCCAGAGGTGTGCGACCTCTGACAGTATAGCAATTGTAAGTCGCTTTGGATAAAAGTGTCAGCTAAATGAATAAATGTAAGTTTGTAACGCCACCTAAAAAATTGAGGCATTCACCAACTTTCTCAGTTGCCTATATGGGCCAACAGTTTTCTATGTGAAGGACTGGTCAGATTTCCTGCGTCTTAAATAAGCTATGACGTTTATGTACGCAATATTACAGCAAATCATGTGAAACACAGTGTAATTTTGTGTTTTAGTTGGTTTAAACTAGATAATGTGAGCTTGCCTGCTATGTGTGATAACTTTCACCATCCACTTGATCAATACAACAAAATTCAAATAAGCCAGGAGGGAACAAAGATGAAGAGAATAAACAGAGTGATGAATAACGTAAGTAGTGTAGACGGTGTAGAACAGGCACAACCTGGAGGAGGAACTAGTCTAAATGACTGTATTAGTAGAACATTAAATTGAAAGTATATTGTTAATTTCATAGTAATCTAAAAGTTTGATATTAATATATTCATTATTTTACTATATTCAATATATAGTATATAACTTACCACTAGTATAATATTAATTCAAATTACAGCTGCTTCAGTTTGGGGTTGTTTTTTATTTGTTAACTTTGTGCAAGAAAAATGCTCTAGGCTACATGATAGTCTCCAACCTTGATTTTGGGCAGGCTACTAACTTGTCAATAATCATAACTGTTTATGCAGAACACTGAGTTCAACATTTATAAAGTTTGTTGCAGCACATCAAGCTTTTTTTTTTTTTAAATCCTACTCCATCCAGGTTGCGATTGATTTGTTCACAAAGTGACACTGAAGAGAGCTTTATGAAAAGTTGAATTTGTTCAGTTATTACAGACTTTGGTTCAATAAAAAGCAGAGATTTAGCTAAATAGCCGGCTAACGTTAGCCAAACTCACACGCTCCTTGAATTTTCCCTGTTGTCTTCTGTCTTACCGATTCCGCTGCTGGCGGCGCATCTGGCTCTTGTTTTTCAGGAACGGGGCTGTTCAAAGTGGCCACAGAGCGACCGGCCAACCGGGTTAATCCCGTTACCACTCATCGCCACTCCGACTTGCGGGTCCGGCGGGGTGGGAGATTACGGTCGGCTGTATTCGTAACTAATTTTCTGGTTCACACAGATCTATTTTTTGGAGCGTTTAAGAGTGAAATAGGCGCTCGGTAGATCCCTGCGCCTAACGTTACAGAAAGGAATCACAGTTGCTACTCACTGCCTGTCTAGTATTTTTGGCTATGCATTATAAATAAATACATTAACCTACACTTTTAGCAAACAAACTTTTGGACAAACTGGATTTTCACATTGAAAAAACTATCTTCAAAATTTAATACCTTGTTAAATGGCGATTAAGACTTTAATACTTTTTAATGGCCTTAATTTTCGCAAAAAAATTGATTTATTACCTTTTAGAGACTTTTTAAGACCCCGCGGACACCCTGTATTAAGTACTTATCAACAGGCTCAGATGAATGACTGGAAGATGATGTGAAATAGAGGTGAACAGTATTTGTGATTGGAGCAGCAAGTACCTTTCTAATTGATTTAGCAGGACTATAGGACCCCTCGGACACATCGAGGCCATCAATAGTGTCTGTACAGTCAGACAGAGGGGCGTCCTGCAATAGTAAACCCAGTGAGGTGGGGGGGCACAACCCAGCTCTTAAACACCAGCACATTGAATTCAGCAGTCTATCAGGCAGGCATGAATGTGTGCAGACATTTGGAAACATACCACCTTTCACACACGCAAAGGTGGAAAGAATACTATGATATCTCACTCAAGTACAAATACTATTATCTAACTAATCCTTAAGCAGATGTGAGGCTACTCTTGTTGAAACGTGCAAAAATAGCTACTTTTGATAACATATTTATGGTCAACATGAAAAGGGCCAATTTGTCAACTTGCCCACAGCAATTTCATTGAAAATCCACACTTAAAATTATGCTAACCAAAGACATTGCCTTTCAGAAAAGAGGCTCTAAGTAAATAAGTCCTCCTGGTTATAAAATAAAACACAACGGCTTATCTGTATTGCATCCCTTTTCTTCATTAAAAAGCAGTGGGAAATCTTGGTGTGATTTTTTGTCTTTGATTAGTTTCTTTTCATCTCTGCATACACACATACCATACAGACATACACAAACATTGGAAATGCATGCAAAGAGAGATGATGCTGGAAAGACATATGGGGCTGTGAAAAGCATAGCAGTTATCAAAAAAATAGCCAAGACCATGCATCGTAAAGACAAACTTTCCACACGGGGGTGCTATACAGTATGTGGTTTATACAATCTGAGTCTTAACACAAAACATCACATCAATAATTCCTATGGACTACTGACATGCTTGGTAAAGTTTTACGTAACCTTAAAACTTGGTTAATGCACTTTAAAAATAATTTGCAGCTTTTTTTCCCCCCTCTTTTTTTGTTTTAAATTGCCTGTGTCCTGCTCCTCGTGGTCTTTGGGTTAAAAGACAAGGAAGTGGACAAACTGAGCTAAACGAATGGAGGGCAAACAATGCAAAAGAAAATTTAAGCAATTTTCCATTTTGCATTTTTACTTCTCAAAAAGAGGATAAAGAGTGCATGCACAGAAATGAAACCTAAGTACATTAGACTGTAGTGGGGACTTTGTTAAACATTGCAAGAGACCAAAATGACCAGCCTGCAAGTGCTGAGACAGACAACAGCCTCAACATTGAACTACCGAAAAGAGAAAAAATTAAATTAAATAATTAATAAAAAACACTAAACAAATGTATGAATATGGACACAACCTGAGCTGGCAGGGTGGGAGAGCAGGGTGAGGTTACCTCTCCCAAACACTACTCACCTGCCAGATTGACAATCTCTGTGGTCAAAGAATAATGTAAGAGTTACAAAGTCACCCCATGCTCTTGGAAACAACACGGAGGACATGTTTTGCTCTCCATTATTAGTGGTGAAGTTGCTCCTTCAGAAACTGATGTTAGATCAGATAACAATGAATGGGTTTTGATTACAGCTGATTTATGCTTAGAGTCCAAGAAAACATCACGCACAATATACAGCATTTTGCTTTGAGGGGTGACTCCTGACCTGGACAGAATATTATGGGATTGTTTTTTTCAAAATTAATCATTTTAATCAATTAATTTAAAGAGGCAAAACTACACAAACTCTCAAATACTTAATCAGCATGTGACACGCATTCATCTCCAGGTCAGGATAGCTGTAGCAGCAAGGTTTTTATATATTCACAGACTGACCTGGTTAAAGGATCGTTCCACGATGGTGCTGGCACACAGAACCTGAGACTGGGGCCCTGCTGTCTTTATGTCCTGCAGGTTCTGTTCCCGGATCTACAAAACAACAACATTTTAAGTCATTAAAGAATGATAAACATGCAGTGCACCAGGAGCCTTCGACAGTCTTTGTTTCACAAAAGTAAAGACATAAAAACAACAAAAAGAAAAAAAAAAAAAAAAAAAAAAAAAAGTGTAAACTGTTATACCTTATTCCTCATTTCCAGGACATCTTTTGGGTTGGTGTTCATTGGGATGAACTGATTGGCTACGGCAGCCTGGCGGAGTCCGTCTTCCTTTGTCCACTATAAACGCGACATCAAGTGTTTAAAAAAAGAAAACAACTAAAACCAGATATACTGAATGACATGAAAAACCAAAGCACAAAAATAGATTCAGACAAAATACTATGCAGGCTTCACAACACAAGAATCATGCTGAACTGAAATGGACAAAGTTGGATGGCTGTAAAAAGGTTTGACCGTAAAAAGTGAACCAATGATGAGACATTTGGGAAAAGATGTGCAAGACTCATTTATACTTTTGTAAATTTTGTATGAGGCTCATATTATTATTACCTACATCGTCTCTCTGAGGCTTACTTATCAACCGATTATATTACATAGTATTTTCCCCAGTAGGTATGATATCATGTAATTGGCTCTCGTGTGTTTGATTTGTGCAGTGAATTTTCACAAACTATACTGGAGCAGGACCTAAATTATTTAAAATTTATGGAGAGTTGTAGGACTGTGGTGATGTCTGATAGATTGCACAATTAATGTGTAATTTTACTGAAAAACTATTGAAAGGTCACAAAAAAGGAAGCAATTTTTACAGAAATGCTCAAAAACTCAAAATTAGTATTTGTAGACTATGCAACTTGTTGCAAGCATTATAAATCAAGCAAATCTGTAATTCATTTCACACACTTGATGCTAAAACCCTAGAAACTCTCATATAAACCTGCACAAAGCACTGCAAGTGAGAAGTGAAACCAATATTTACAAATTGTGCTTTTACGTGCTCTCTGACATCTTAGTACGTTTTGTGCAAAGGAGCTGCATAGGGATGGGGTTCATTAATTTTTTATCGATACCCTTATGATGCCATTCTTTATCCATACCACTATTGATACTTTACTGTTATTTAGTGATGGTTATTTGGTAAGACCAGACCCAACATGCAGGCATGGAGGTAGGCCTGCACGGTATGAGGAAAATATTCAATGTGCGATAACGTTATATATTGAGATGACATATCACTTATGCGTATTAGCTGCCTGGTTGTTTTTAAAGGAGGAGCGGCTGGTTTGTCTCAGCCAGCAGCTGAGTTTTTAAGACTATAGACCAGTCTGTGCTCCAGACATTTCTATTTAGCTTGTTTTTAACATTTGGCTAATGCCAAGCTTGCGTTAGCTATTAGCTCATACAGGATGAGATACTGAGGGCAGAGATGATTTAATTAACCATTTCTACATGTTTAACGTTACCTTACAGACAGGTGTATTGATAAAGTATTTTCTTTTTACTTGCGAAGGTTTTATCGCACGTAACGTTACTTACAGTAACGAGCGTAGCTGTCATCACCTAACCTTATAGTAGTTTGGAGCTAACTTAACCCTCTCCGTAACGTTATTCCACCGCAACGGCGCAGCCTCTCGCTCTGCTGCCGCTTGTGTGCGTGTGTGTGCCGACAGAGAGCAGGCAGAGACTGCAGCCTGATGATTTTCTTATCCATTGCGTTTCAAATTAAATTAGATTTGACGCTCCAGACTTAACGTTACATCATCACCTGCAAGTCTCGATAGCAGTATCGATAAACCTTATTGATTTTCGGGTTTTGAGAAATTTTGGATCTGTGTCCTTTTGGAAACTGGTCTCGATCCCCATCCCTAGAACTGCAGAATGTTTCATGTGTATATTGGATATGAGAAGGGGTTTATAATTCTTTAAGCTGCTGAGAAGTAAACCTTGTCTGGAAGGTTTTAGGAGCCCACGGAGAAAAACACTTATGTTTTTAAAATCCTTCAGATAGTTATACGCCCTTTTTGGCTTAATATGCATGTGTGTTGGTGAAGCACAGTCAGAAACTGATAAAGAGACCTTGTGCATGACGAGAAGATGCATGGACTGAAGCCTAACAGTGTATTTGTACTAGTGAAATCCATTTGTCATCATCATTGATATACTATTGGACTGAAAAAACAAACAGAAGAAGCACACTGGCGATCAACTGAAAACATCACAGAATGAGAAAAAAGGGGGTAAGGGAGGGAGAAGAGAGGGGCGGGTGGTGTCAAGAGGTGAGGGGGAGTGAGGGATGGCTGGGTGGGTGACTGAGATGATGAGTCTGGCTTACGAAGCGAGAGTGGCAGTGAGGGGTGAGCTGGCATCACCAAAGTCATTTCCCAGGCTGATACACAACAACAAGGACGACAGAGATAAGAGAGAAACACACCCGAGGACACTCGCCCACAAAGCCACTGTCAAAACGCGACAAAGATAATGTAGCTTTCCTGCACAGGATGGAAACCTTTTATTGTATTGTTATCTGATGTTCTCCTCTTAATGTGAAATAGCCCCTTTACTTTTTAGATTGTTTTTGTAAACCTGGTAATGCTCAGCATGATTGAGGGAAATAAAGTATGTACCCATTTCTCGCACGAAACTGAATGAGCAGCGGGTGAACATACAAATAAAATTTTCAGCTTTCATGCAAAATATTTTGTTGAACCTTTTTTAAACTAGGCATGTACTTCACAGCGGAAAGCATAAGGTTATGACTTCATTCCTGTGTTTACTTTAAGCTTGGCTGGTTTGCTGCCAAACGGGGTACTAGATGAGGAAGGGTTTCTGGATGGAAGTAGCCGGGTTGGGGTTGGTTGAGAATGAGATGAACATGTAAACGCGATATACTCACTGAGAAAGAGTCTCACAACACAACATTTCCTACTTTCCCAACAGGAGATAATTTATCAAAATCAGGTCAAACTCCATGGCTTTTTTTTTTTTTTTTTTTTTTTTAATTGTTGCCCCCCCCCACCACCCCATCCCCAAACAAATCCACTCATGCAGGACTTGAGGTGAAATCAGAAGCTATAGAGAATATAAATAATAGAGAAAACAGAAACATACAACTGGGAGCAGTTGAAGGTGTTTGAGAATAACAATTAGAAAGCAGGCTACATATTGCTTGCCAATGAAATTTAGCTTTGATGATTAATAGTATAAAGTATTTTGTTTTATCAATTGTCTATAATGCATCTAATATTATTCTAGTAATTAAAATCTTTCAGTAAGAGACATGCCACCTCCCTCATATGCAGGCAATGTAAATCTTATAAATGCGTTTTGAGCAGCCCACAAAGCAAACACACACTTAGAAGGCAGTGGTAGATGGCCTTAATTCGCACTGTACTTTTTCCATTTACCCCTTTCACCGAATCATGATTGAGAAACAAAGTTACTTCAAGATGCAAAGACAAAAAAAAGTGTGTACAACGGGTGTCGGTGAGCAGAAGTGTGGTTAGCAGCAACGTCACCGTGTCTCGCCACATTCACCTGCCCACTTGGGGACTCATGCCACACCCCTGCTGCTCGCTCCTCTGGGAAAAAATGTCAACACCAACAATGCATTTCACTACTACACATGCAGTGGGGCATGCTGTGGGCAGCTGGCCCGGCATCATGAAGCATTAGGAGACCAGAAGGGAAAAAGAGCAAAGGGGGCCAGAAGAAAGTTACAGCTATGCTTCAAAGTAATTACTGTGGGTGGGTTAATAGGACATCTGAAATTACAGAGTGAGTGAGCCTAAAAACACCTAAAAGTAGTGAAAAGCAAGATTATACTGACTTCCACTTTTAGCCTAGCGTTTAAATAAAAAAGGCTCTCCACGCTGTCCCCAGAACCTCAGGATGCCGACCACCTACCCGTTTCCACCAACAAGGTAGCTGTAAAATCTATACTATGAACAATAAGGTAGGCACAGACCAAGCAGTTGGTTATACAGCTTGGCACGCAGACACCAGACGAGAGAGACTGCAGCAAGGGTTTGACGTGATCGTGTGTTATGTTCGTCCACACCTTAGGCTTCGACTTGGGGCTGCTGCCGTCGGGCCCGTCCTCGCAGGGCTCCTCGGGCCGGCCGCTGGCATTGAGCCAGCGGGTCTTGTCACGCTGGCCGCGCTGGAAGCTGTGCTTCAGCGGGGAGCGAGCACCTGAGTCACTGTCCTCCCCGTATGAGTAACCACCGTGGGCGGAGGGAGGTATCTCCACGTCACTGTACTTTTTAGCTTTGTCTCGCAATGCCGGGCAGCGGTAAGGGTAACCCGTCCTGTAGCCCTGGGAAACAACAACAGGGGTTATCAAATGGCTAATACAGTAAATATCTAGCAGTGTTAAAAGAGACACTATGTTGTGAACACATTCTTCTTCTTCTCACAAACAAAACATTTAATTTGTAGGCACGAAAAACACCCTTGTTCAATTCAATAGTTTACTGCTACAGCCTTACTTTGTCTGGTATGACCATTATGGTAGCTAATGTTAGCAATCTATCTAAAGTTTGCCATTTTATTGAAATGTTGTTTGAAATTGCTTAACAACTTCTACAAATAAAACCGTTCACAAAAGTCAAATATGACTCCCACGCAAAATCCAAACATTCGGCACAGTGTTTAAGTTAGAGGTTAATATTTGTACTGATTGAATAAATTCAGCAATTTGGAATAATTCATGTTTTTGGATTAATTATGGACGTCAAGTCATCAAACAGGTGAGGTAGTAACCTGCTCCCACTGCCCTGTGGAAGGGGCTATCCCATTTGTACCTACCAAGTTGTCGAGCATTCTCATAAGAGCCTCAAACTCCTGCTCCCCGACTAGCCACTTGGGATGTGTAGAGGACCCGTCGCCGGCTGGCTCCGGGACCCGTGGGCGTGCCTTGTATTTGCCCGGGTCCAGCATCAGCAGATTATCTGGCCCTCCAGCGCTGACCAGTGTTCGCACCTGAAAGAAATTGTGGGAGGGGAAACAGACAGACAATGCACAGACAGGATCCAGAATACAGAAAGAAAAGAAAATGTGGACATGAGGACACACACACACCAACATGAAGAAAGATGAACATATATAAAAATGTGGAGAGACAAGGGACAAAGACAATTGTTATGAAAAATGCAGACAAACATATGGTGCCAAATACAACAACCCAAATAAAAATACACAGTTCTAAAAATCATACCACAATGATGAGTAAACGTGATAATCCTTTTGTAAGGGTTTAATAAGATTATTTGATTTTTTTTTTCTTTTAATGTCTATGTGCTAGTATCTATTGCTAAGTGATATTTCAGAGGAAATGTCCTTTACAGAGCTCAGTGTGCGTCCTACCTGGATCTCACAGGCAGTAACCAGATTGTGGATGTAATAGAAAGCTTCCTCCACGGTTTCGCCTACAGACACCAAACCATGGTTCCTCAGGATGAGAACCTGAGACAGAGGGGAAAAAAATCACAACTTGGCAAAGAACAACCACATGTAATAATGAAAAAAACAACTCATTCTCAAGTTATAACATCTAAATGTAGCAGGTTTTCATAATGAACCTTACATTTCAAATGGAAGCGGTATTTCTCTTGTTTACATTATCATGTTTACATAGACCCTCTAGGGTTGGGCGACAAGGTGAATATATCAGCTATGGGCGATTGGCAGAGCCCATTGCCAGTTGTGTTTTTTAGGGCAAATTTTTAGGCTGATTTTATTTTAATGGTCTGCCTCCAAAGAACGAGTGAGAGCCATGCTCAGCAACAGACTCTCCTTCAGCAAGCAAACCAAGCAGCACAAAGAGGCCAGCGACTTCACAGAGAGTCACAAGGGGAAAACAAGTAGTAACAGTTGGAAACTTATAACACACACTCTGCTGTTACCTTGCTGTTAGGCCCAAGGTTCCTCTGTATGAGAGTAGTTTCTTCCTCATCCACCAGTATGCCGTGGTAGTCATGATAGGCTACCTCCCCCAGGGACAGTGCCTCGGGGGAGATGGGCAACAGGCCGCATTTCATGGCGGACACCTGCAACCCAACACACAACATGTGCCATAAGACTGTAATGTATCCATGTCTGTGTGTGTTAATTGAGTATAAATTAGTCTGTATACACGGTCTCTTACCGCAGCACCCGCGGGGGTGTGTACATGTACGATACACTTAACATCGGGCCGTGCAGAATAGATGGCAGAGTGGAGAGTGAAGCCAGCCTGGTTCACCCCGAGATTGGTGCTGCCCCGGTCCACTATCTCACCTTGAAGGTTTATCTTCACCTGGAGAGCATGGCAGACAACAAAAGGGTCACTCAAAGCAACAGGTGCACGTTTAGCTATGAATCTCATGCAGACAACTACGGACTTTTTTCAACATATTTTATCACATTAGAAGTGAAATAATCTAACATAAGAAAATACATGCAGTTCTAATAGAGGTCAGCACAGATTCTCACCAGACTGGAGGCTGTGACTTCACTGTACAGGAGCCCAAACGGGACAATCAGGAAGCGCTCCTGCTCTGAGTTCACCCTGACCTAAAAGAAAACAAATCACATTAGATTACAGTGTTAATGGAAATTGGCTCCAATTGAGCTGAGCCAATTCATAAATACAAGGCTGTTCACCAGCACAAAAACATTTTCTTAAAGCCCATAAAAGAATGATTCAGGAATGCATGAAATGAAAATTCAGTTCAGTCAACATGGTCGGTTGAATTATTGAAGAAGAATCTTACTGTGAGGTGGTTGTAGATGAGCTCGGACCAGCCAAATAAGTCAGCGAGCCGATAGAAGGCAGCCAGCTTGCAGCGAAGCAGCTTCTCACCCTTGTCATAGGAAATAGAGTCGGAGCCACGCAGATCATTCACTGGAGTCACCATACCTAAACCTGAAGGGAAGAGATAGGTCAGATAGAAAATCCAGGGTTGCTTACATGAATCTGTCCAGAAAAAATAAGAACCATCCTGATTCCTTGCTAGCAGGAAAGAGAAAAAAATCTGACTTACAGATAATAACAATAAGATGGAGTCTGCTTAGTGAAATCCAACTGGACTCTTTGTCCGTAAATTAACTTTGGCGTACACTGTATTACTCATTGTGAGCACAGACATAGCAGGGCTGAGGTCAAAAAGTCGCACACACTCATTCTCTTCTGTGCTTACTCATGTTGAGTGCCGCCATGCCTCCTTGTGGGGCAGCGGGATACATGGAAGGCATACTGGTGGTCATGAAGTCTGCGATCTGCTGCAGAGCCAACAGGCTAGTGGGCGTCTTCCCCTTCTTCAGCTGATCCTGGATCATTGTCTCCAGCTCGTCGCAGAATGCCTGCCGGTCATCCATACACACACACACACACACACACAAATGTAAGGGGAAAAAAACAAAACTGTTTTGTTTTTGGGCACAATGACCCAAAAACAGAAAATGCCTCAAACTGGCTTGTCTGAAGCGGAGAGACTAGCGCAACTTTAGAACCAACATCCATCATTTAGGGAATTTAATATCCTGACACTACGTTTGAAAGCTTTTAAACAACCACCCCATTGTTTTTGCATATTTTAGCCTGATTACTTTCTGACAGCATGCTGCAGTGTTTACTGACCATTCAGTCAGTCCCTTTTGAAATATTAATTTTAGGGGTATGACGAGATCTCGCAAGATTAAATTATGAGCCTCTAACACATCTATATTATATTATCTCGTCAGGTAAAAAGCTGTCTCACGAGACTCACGCAAATGACATTTTTCCACATACTGTCAAGCAGCCACCCATTATTTTTCTCATGCAGTGAAATAAAAATGTATAACTGATAAAATAGACTCACAGAGCTAATTAACTCCGGCCAGCTGATTGACACCGGCATACGAACCTGCTCACGCTGTGAGTCCAGACCTTTTTATACAGTCAATGGTCCAGACAGCTGTGACAAGTGGTAACGTAACTGGTAGAGTTTTGCAACATAAACGGCTAAAAATTTAAGCGCAGCCTTCTCTGGTTGGGACTGTGAGCTGCACTTTATCATAGCTGCTGAAGTTAATGTGTGTGGATCTATAGTGAGATTTCTGCCTGATCCAAAGCGTTTCATTTACTTTTGGTTTCACATGCAACATGCAGTCCCAAACTGCGTCGGTCAAACGGTCTGAAGGGGATAACGTTACTACCAGCGGATCAATAACGTAATGCACAGCAGAGTATAGGGCAGGTAGACTTCTCATTAAATGTTATTTAATAAATATTCTGCCTTTTCTCTGGACATGTCAGAGAACATGTCCAGATCTTTGGGAGAAATTCTAAATGAGGCAAAAGTTTTGAACATGAGCAGAAAATATGCACAGGAACTATTAAAAGTCCAGGAGTTTATAACTGAATTAAAATTTAAAAATAAATAAAAATGCATCAAAAAAAATGTATCATTGAGGTGAAAAGGTGCCACATTTAAAGAGGTTACTTCCCCAAACAAAGACACAAAGAAGAGGGAAGACTAAATCATGAATCAGCAGGGATGATATTACATGAGAAAAGTTGATCTACAGGAGAAACAGATCTGAAAGCAACACAGAATGACTGAGAGCTGCACTGACTTACATCTGTTATAGCTATAGATTTTGAATCGTCACCTGCCACCTAACTTTTGTGTTTCTCTTGTATAAATAAAATTTATACTTGGGCAAGATACCCCGAATTGCCCCTGGCGGCTGGTCCGCCAGTGTATGTGTGAATGATAGTTTTGAGCACTTAGGCTCAGTGAATGAATGTGTGTGAATGCAGATGTAGTGTAAAAGTGCTTTGAGTGGACGAAAAGACTAGAAAGGCGCTATACAAATACGGAGCATTTACATCACAATACAGGAAAGAAAGTGTTAAATGCTCAAAAATTTCATATGGTTCATCATAAAAGATTTCTTTAAAATAGTGTTAAAATCTTGTCCCGTCTCGAATCCAATCTCGACGGTTAAGTGTCACGTCACACCCCTAATTAATTTCATCATGTTATAAAACTTGCAAAGATGTAAAACATGCTTAACCCATAATGAGGTCACACATGTGTGTATATATAAACTAATTTGAAAGGTGTCCTATAAAGTAATAATGTAACCTGACACCCTCATTCAAGTTTCAAACATTTGCAAGTAGCTCCACCTAAGTATGCTTAGGTTACTTAAGTTACATGAACATTAAGTATGCTGTTCAACAGACAGCATATTGGCAGACAGGCCATCCAGAAAGTACACACATTAGTGTACACTCCAGTTTATTAGGTACATCTGGCTAAATCTAATGTGATCAACAGTCCTGCAATAAATCCTCCCTTCATGAAGGTTGTAATGTTTAGTTTTTGTTTTAGAGAGCTGTTGACTCAGGACGTGAACACATCAGTGCTTTTCATACATACAATAGGCCTTTAAAACAGTGCTGGTCAGCTGGTCACAGAGACACTGTTGATGAGGAATAAACTGGATCCATCATGTGATGTTAAGCAGGCTTCCACCTTTACACTAAAGGAGCCTATTCATATTTTAAAATGCTGGTTGTGGCAGTGTGCTTTTATCAACTCTGTGAGCACAGTATTTTGTCAGTTATTGTAATGAATGTACAGCAAGTGTAGTATATTCTATAATATGTGAGTGATTTGAATGCATCTGTTCCACTGACCGGGCTCTGTAGTATCATGGAGACCCTTTTCCTCTGCTCCATCATGTTGAAGTCCTGCCGCAGGTCGGGTGCCATGTTTCTCTCCCTCTGGTACTCCGGACTGCTCTCATCCACTCGGTCAAAGTACCGCTCCTTGTGGGGGGCTGTGGTGGGAGGGGGGGCAGTCACCACACCGGCACCTGACTCGCCGTTCATCCTGGGCAGGCCTCCTGTAGAGGGGGGTGACACAGATGACCTTTGAACTTTCCCCCCCATCAGTTAAACACAAAAAGTTAATGCACTGTTATTAAATGTCTCCCTAAATCCAACGTTTTTCAGAACACGTTTTCCTGTTAGAGGTACATTAGGTCTATCCCATGGCCCACAGTCACACTGTTACACAACATAACTTTTAATAATGATCAAAATTAAGTGTCTGTGGGGTGGAATGATGATGACTGGACAAACACCAGGCTGTCACTCAAGTACATTGTTTTATGGGACAATACAGTCTAAGTTGAAAGTTAAACTCCATGCTCAATAAAAATATGATTAGATGCATCAGTGGAAAAACATGTATCGCAATATACATTACCCCAAATCAAAATGATATAAAACATATGAATATTTTAACTTTGTATACTGTCTGGGGCGGTGATAGGCAGTGGATAAGACACATGCCTTTGGTGTGAGAGACACAGGTTCAATTCCCTATGGTGACACATCCACCAATGTGTCCCTGAGCAAGACACTTAACCCCTGGTCGCTATGAATAAAAGCATCAGCTAAATGAATAAATGTAAATGTATGTCTGCTTTATACTTTAGGGCTTGTGTCTTAAATATTTAGGGGAGGTCTATAATTGTCATGAATTAATAATAATAAAAAAAGTATAAGTATAAGAAAAGTATAGTAGTAGTAGTAGTAGTAGTAGTAGTAAGACGCTGCGAGAGGGACGCAGAAATTTTCCCTGACCATAAGGGGGAAATGAGCATCACCAGTCATAGACCAGAAAGCCAATCACACAGACCACACTCTCCCCTTCTTGATCATGTGATCACTCTTCCAAGCTCAGAGGGCTTTTTCTTTATTGATTTCCACAATGTGTTTCCCAGAATCACAACACCAGTCAACTGCCAAAGGCTGGGCAAAGGAAAGTCAAGCAAAAAATATAGCCAAAGGTCTCTTCCCATTCAGCTTGAAAACATCAACAAAACTCTTAATTATAACTCAGTAATTTCTAATGTATGTTGTGGACATAAATATTACTTTATACCTAGGAATCAATAACTGACACTTAGCTCAAACATTACCATGTATTCCCTTCAACTGACAGCAGCAGGGAGGGGATTTAGAGACATAAAGAGAATAGAGAGACAGATTTCCTATAGATCCATGTCCATCCAGCTGGCTAGGTGCATGTGAGGATAAATAGTCTCCGCCTGTCTGTCACAGCAGCACAGATTACTCAGGCACCGACTCTGAAGGACACACACAGACTTACGAACATAGGGAAATGTGTCTGTGCAAGCATGCATGGGTAATGGAGGCAGTGGGGGTGCTCTGGCAGAAACTGATGCAGCCCATTAGTCTGCATCAATACAAATGTTCAGCCAAAACTACCATGACTACTGCAGACCAAACCCAAAGCATCCAGTATCACACTGAGAGCTGACAGAGCTGCTCTCTGTTTCGACCCACTTTTATTTCTGTTCTGAGATTTTCCACAACATCAAACCAAACATTTTCACAAATCTCAGGTCACCTACTCCAAACAAGGTTTGTGTGTGTTTTTGTGTGTTCATGCTGTTTAGCTAATTCTAGGCCAAAAGTGTTTTGTCCATTTTCACCACATAAACACATTAAACAAAGGGAAATGAAATGATCACAGCTTAACATTGTAGAGAGAAGGCTGATGAAAAAAATAAAAAGTTTTAAAAGTTTTCAGGATGACTGGTAACAAATGGACAGGATATAATACTTGCATTTTATGTCTTTTTTTTTTTTTTAAATAACAGATCGAAAAAAGTGTGTTCTTTCTGCTCTCCACCTACCATTTGTTAGTAATTATTTTAAAATCAATATAATAAAATTATTTACTGATACTTTGCTGAGCTAGGCCAGTTAACATTTAGCAGGGCTGGTTTGGCTGTTTCTTCCCCTGCCATAACCACATTCAATCTTTTTTTATGTAATATAACAAACTAAATTGCCATGATGTTAATTCATCATCACGGATATATGTCATTTACATGAAACAGCTGGGATTTTAGAGGCTGTTTTATTTGGTTATTAGTGTTGTTCTGTAAGTAATAACTGCAAATTTAACATGGTATACATTTCTTCTATAGCATAAAAACACTTGTTTACAGTCTGGTCTTAAATTTTATTTAATATGTAGTTACTGCATTTAGCGTATCCTATCATAGGGTCATTCTGGATCAAATATTCAACATCTCACTTTTTCAACACTTTTTATTGAGACAAATATTAAAATGAAATACTCTATGAATCCTTACGATGCATGCAGGATATCCATACTGTGTCCAAGGAGCTGGGAGTTGGGGTTGAGACCCAAGGTCGTAAATCGCAATTACAAAAGAACAATAAGAAATCCAAGCTGCTTAATGTCTCTGCAAACATTCAGCAAGGAAAACTCTCTGTTTCTGTCTCACTCATGTGATTAGAACATCAGTTATTGACACAAGAATAAGGACATGAGCAATTAGCTCTGGTACCAAATAATGTCATTAGGGAAAAACAGAGTTCCCATCGCTGGCCTGTTATTAATACAAACGTAACTCCAGGCACTGCAAAAATCAGCTCAGATTAGAGAAAATTAGCAACAACAGTGTTATGCACATCAAAATCTGCCTCCGAAACTCTTCTTAAAAACGTCACACTTAACAAATACAAGTTTATAGTGTTAGATACAGGTGGGGTTGGTATGTCTAATACTTCAAAGAAGGTACAACAGTACAGTCTCTGCAACCCTTCCAAGACTGGCCAATGTCAGCCTGGTTTACAGAAACAGCATCTCAATGCTTCTGGACAGCAAGTCTGATCTCATTCCATTTGGTCTGACTTGTTTATGCTGCATTTGCTGACAGTTGTTCATGTTGGTGTTCATTGCTGGCGGCAACGAAGCAAATCAAACATGTCTGCTGACAACGGGACAACCAGAAAAAAAAAAAGTGGCAAAACCCTAAAGGATTAAACATTCATGCTGTTCTCCCATTGACCTTTGTTGTTTAGAGAGAACATACTTGTTTGGAAATCCATCTGAGGTGAAAACAAAGTGTTCAGTCTTTTCACTAATATATCCAATAAACACCAGAAGGCCATAGAGCCCTCTATTTGTTGGTATTTCAGTGTGGGGAAAAAATAAAATGGTATGGTAAAACTGGTATTTTATCATTTATCACTCCATTCACAGTCTTTGCTAAGAACTGAGCACACACATTATAACATTAATAACTTCACAACTTTTAATTTCTCACGATAGAAACAGTGAAACTGTTAAAACAGTATCCATTTGCCATCCTCAGTGGCCTAAAATAATAATTCTGCCATTAGTTAATATTACTGACCCTTATTTTAAGCGCCAGACAGTGATGTCTTCAATTTTTTTAAGAGCTTCTGGGTTTTACCTTGTAAGATCATAGGATGTAACATTTTTAGAGATGCCAATTATGGCTGCTATTGCTGCCAAAAGCAATACAAAAGGTTTGGAGGTATACTGACGTTTCATCTCAAGAGTACAAGCAATTATTTTAGCACTAAAAAACTGAATTTTGGCTTGATATCAACTTGCTCACAATGCTCTCTATGCACTGAAGTGCTGCAGGAACTGTGTAATAGGATCCTTAACCCTGTCTGTAAGCAGCCATCAGCACCACACTGCAGTGCACACCAGCACAGAACGTGCCAACACTTGCAAATACAGGGTGAACGAACCATAAGTATTTGTTAAAGTATCTCTAAAACTGCAGGAAGGAAAAAGATCAAAGAGGGGCAACAGGAGCGAAGATGAGGGTATCAGATGATGTGCACAAATTATCACTTTCAAATATTGTCTTGTTTTGTGGTCGCTGTCAGTCTAATCACCTCAGTGTTAGAGTGAACAAAGCAAGGGAATGTTACAGGGGTATACATTATGCCTTATTGTGCATTAACAAATATTAGTAACAGAGTTTAATCAGGTCACTTCGACCGCCATCTCAAGGAGCATTTGTTTGAGTAAACTCATTTCTTGCTGCACTCTGCCCTGCCAAACGTTAACTGAAACACTCCAGCTGTGCAATACTAGACACCATTCCAGCATGAACATCTCTAGAGCATCTTTTTCTATGGTGTAAACTACTCTAAAACAAATATTGTGGATACTGTAGCAATAACAGTCATAGACGCAGGAAGCTTTCTCCAAAATGTGGTCATCTCACAACCACCTGCGCCCCCGCCTCACCAGACCCCCCTCCCATTTTTCCTCATCTCTCCTCAGATATGTATGTGCAGGGGCTTGGCTAGCTTCCACTCATGTTAAGAGTCACTATGGAAACCAAACACGTTACCATGGAAACACAGGACTACCTTTAAAGATTACTATTATGTAAGAGTAGCTGTAGGCCAACATTACGCTGCAAGCCGGTCAGAGTCACAAGGCACACACCTCCAAACTAACGTGGTACTCATTTTCCATCTGTTTCAACATGTCAGAAGTCAAATATACACTGACTTAAAAACATCCCATTTGTTTTTGATTAGGATGAAGTCATGTTGTGGAGCAATATTTGTTTAATTCGAGCATGTGACTAATTTAATACATATGTTAGTTCACAAGGTTACTACAATAGTCTTAGGAATTCAGTGACATGGAATGAGACTGGTGTGCACTGTTTTATAAATGCACCTGTTCTGTATGAAGACCGAAACTAAGAAAATTCTACTGTGTTTGGAAATGCCACTGTGCATCAGAAGCACTTGTCACTGTGCATAGGTTAAGGGTAGAGTCACATCCATACTACCTTGGGACAAGTCAAGACAACCAGAAGGGGCTCATCTCGTCCACCTGAACTTTCTTTAGCAGAGACAGAATCAACTATTACACCATTAACAAAAATGCAGTAACGGTACAAATGGAATATCTTGTGAATGCTTCTCTCCCTAAAGGCAGGTTCACCCTAGCTTCCATAACCGCACCCATTAAATAATCTGTATTGGAAAGTACCCT